CAAATGTCTTTCTCTTTCCTCTTTTCCTCGCTATAGGGTATGTGCATCAGAGAGAGAGACTGAGAGGGAATGTGACTGTCCACCATCTGAAGTGGACAGTCATGTCACAGTCCCTTCTCCTGAATTCTCCTCCTGTGATTTTGGCATGTACACACATGCACCTGACATGATTTTCAAGCTGCCAAATCCAGGACTCAAACCATGTCAGCCATGTAAGAGTCAAACACCTTAAACACCATGCCACCTGCTGGTCCCTAAATTTCTTTTTTTCATGTCTATGAGGTAATAAAGGATTAAGAAGAGAAACTTGATTCCTCACATGTAGTTGACAAGTTAATAAGAACAAAAATATGATAATTGGGGAATTACTTGTAGTCTTGTTATTTGTGAAACATCAGTGAATTTTCATACACTGTTTTTTATTTATTTATCATTACAAAGAAAGAAATAATTGAAAATAATTGGCATACAGTATAAAAAAAATCACATTTTAAAATTAATTTGTTGCATTCTCTTGTTATCATCATTTGTTCTGAGTCACCCAGATCCTTAAACATCTCATACAATCGTCCACTTAGTGCCAACTCTTTTAGAGAGGACTTTCCAAAACATTAAACACCAGTAATGGTTTTTTATAAAAATAATCACAATATAAGACCACCAAAAGCTAGAATTATGTTCCCAAATACAATGGCACAATGATGATTAGGTACTCCATGCCGGCACCTATAGAATCACATCAAAAAGTAAAAATGTGAAAATGTAGATAATACTTTACATTATTTCATGGTATTACGATTTTGAATAACTCCAAAGAAGATATTTGTAAATGTTGAGATGTATAAACTCTAACTTTTACGAGCACCCCAAGTTTTATAAAAACACGAAACTCTTCTAGAAAACAAATGTTCACATTGTGACTCAAAAGTAAAAACTAATCTATAGCCTCAGAGGGATTGTGGGATTGTGTCCAGGTGGAAATGTTTCTAATGAATTCTGGGAATCCTGCCAAGGGCCATGGGTGACATATTTTGACATATTTACATCTAAATTTAAATATTTTAGATTGTTTGTTTGTGTATTGCCAGTTACTAAAATATGTTTTTTGATAGAATTGGCACTTGGTTATGTATGCATTTATTCATTGCCAATTACTACAATGCCTTTCTGCTGTCACAGGCAGTTTAGTCAGACACAATTACTCCCTGGATGTAGAACCCCGGGGCAACATCTTCTCACAGAAGAAAACAATAACAGAACCAAACTGAAAAAGAACAAAGAAAGTGAGGAGAAAAAATGGATATATACATGACCAGAACATTTTAATTACATTAGAGGAGAGGTCTTATAAGACCATTCAAACTACTGCCATATTCAAGAGGCTTATTCTTTTCATCCTGAACCAAAATTTCCAAGTTTGACAATAAAGTATTTTGTTGTTGCTTGAAGTATATAAATTTTCTGATATTTTGTTTATTTTTTCTATCACTGTGAATAAACTTTATTTTCTCTTTAATTCTCATTGTGATATATGTTCACTGTTAGAAAAGAAAATGTAAGGATTTGGACTATTAGAAAATAATACCTAAAGATGGTATATAAAGAAAAGTATTATTTTGGTTTCAGCTTTTTAAAGTTTTTTGTTTTGTTTTGTTTTAATTTTCTTGAGTTAGCGAGAGAGAGTGAGAATGAGAGAGAGAAAGAGAAGCAAGGGTTCCTGATAAGCTCTCGCCCCCTCACGATCTGAGCCAGGCAGGTCCATGGATGTACCTGGTAAATTAATTCAGGTCAACCTGAGATTCCAACCTCAGGCTTTCTGTATGAATTATTAATTAATACAGTGATAGTATTCAGTTAATACAGTTCTTAAAACTATCTATCAATATACCCTAAGAATTTGTAAAGCCACTTATTAACATAATTTTAATTTGAGAACAAGCCTACTTCAATATTGTGTGGCCTGGATGTAGACCTTTGGCTCCTTCATCCTGACCACAACCTATTAGACTAAGCCTAAATTTCCAGATGAAAATACCTGAGTAGGTCATAATACAAAATAGGCACCTTTGATCTTTATGATCAGAAGTTAGCACCACCATGTCACCAGCTGGCTCGAGTCTAAGGATGCTTACAGTTTTGCCCCCACACAAGTTAGTTGGAAGGATGTTTTCAGATAATCAGACTTTACCCTACCATATCAGTTATGTCTTCAAAGTACTGGTGAATACAGCCCCAACCAAATAGCTGTGAGGTTGGATTCTGAAAAGTATTTTGAATGCAAATCAAAATCAAGATTTTTGAAAGTCAACTTATTCTTTAGGTGTTTTTAAAAATTATTTATTTAATTTTACCTATTATTATTACTTAATAGGGCATGCATGCTCACCAGAGAGAGACAGAGACAGAGAGAGAGAGAGAACCACTAGCTCTAGGACTCAAACCAAGCTTGGCCATGTGGGAGTTCAATGCTCTAACACCATGCCATCTTGCTGTAGGGTATGTGTGCTTGCTGGAGAGAGACAGAGAGAAAGAGAAAGTATGAAATCATCTCCATGGAGGATGACCATGCAACAATCCCTCTTCTCCTTTCTCCTCTTAGGATTGTGGGTGCACATGCCCATGGGCCCAGTGTGTTTTTCAGGCTGTTAGGTCCAGAACTCATACTGAAAGCCCAATAATTTGACTCACCATCCTCCAGGGGCATGATTTTTTGCTTTATCTCTCACTGTGTCTGTCTCTTTCTGGTGAGTGCACATGCCCTAAGGCAAAAACCTCTTAAAAACACAGAGAGAGAGAGAGAGAGAGAGAGAGAGAGAGAGAAACAAAGCAATAAGGTAACTGAGCTTTAAGGGTGAGGAAGAGAAATCTAAAATTATGTAAAGCAAATGTTGGCACGATGGTCATAGCAGATAGAGTAGACACAGGGAGTTTTTCTTAGGTGTGAGGAGATATATTGGTCATCAGAAAATTCATGAAGCATGCATACATAGAAAAACAGAAAACACGGCATGACTTTTCTGACAACCCGGTATTTATGGAGAAGGTTGATAAAGAGAGACTGGAACACAGGCACACCTCCCTCAATGCCTGGAAAATATTTAAATGGTAATAAAATCCTTCAAAATCATTGAATGGGGCGCCAACAGGTAGCATAGTCATTGGTTCCAGTTCTGGACCCGGTAGCTTGAAACTCATGTGCATACATGACCAAAATCCTGAGAGGAAAACTGAGGAGAAGGGATTGCAGCACTGGCCTGGGGTGGAGGGGGGATTTCTTGTTTTTTGTCTGTCACTCTTGTGCAGGAACACACCCTATAGCAAAACTTTCTAAAAATAAATAAATACATAAAATAAAATGAGTGGGAAAACAGAGACTACTTAGTTTTAAATGTGTTGCTTCAAAAGGACAAAAATAAACCTTGTGCCATCAGTGGAATAGATGGCATTTGTGCTGGTATAAATTCAGTTATAGTAATCAAATATAGTTTCTGTATACACATATGGACATAAACAACATATTTTGACTATTGTGACTATATAGTTTTACATGCAGCTAAACTGCTGATGAATTAATTGTAGACCTTTGATTTAACTGAACCATACCTGCCCATAAACAGTTGAGTTAGCATGGGCAGATCCATAGCACAGCAGTTAAGCACTGAGGAAGCCAGATTCTCCATGACTGACTAGAGTTCCTTCCCAACCTAGTGGCTTGCACCCAGGCTGTATGTGTTTGTGTGCTCAGGATCCCGACACAATAAAAGAGGATGCTGACAAAATAAAGGATTGGAGAAAGACAATTATACAAAATGGAGACTTGAGAAAAAAAAATATTGTGTTACGACCAGGTCCTGTGAAAGGGAT